TTTGATCTTTGCGATTTCGATGTGGCCCAATTTCAACTCGCCGTCTTCCATTCGCATTTTCAATTGGTCCATCGGAAGTTTCTCGACGTCACGCTGTTTAAATCGGTTCCCAACTTCTTTCTCGGACAACCCGACGATGACAGGAGGCGCGACGAATTGCATTTTGTCCTCTTTCATCGCAAGTTTCTCGATCTCCAATTTCTTCTTTGCTTCTATCATTTGATTGAAAGCCTCGCCAGAATCATTTCCTTCATCAAAAGACTCTTCGGAAAATTCCCCACGTAAATGGCGAAGTTCTCTGTCGCGCTCGTCCATTTGTTCTTCCGCTTTCCGACGCGCTTCATAGGGGTCGACATCGGGATTGACTTCTACGTCGTTATTAATTAAATTTGGGATATCATAGTCACTCGACTCCCCTTCAAGATAATCCTCTTCCATCAACTTCGGGTTAAACAAATCGTCGCCTTCATCCCCAGAACTACTCGACTCATCAGCTCCTACGGGACGCGCTACACCCACATCTTTTTCATATTCAGCATCACTAAAGTCATCTCCATTCTCAGCTCCTTCAAATGAATTCTCTTTGTTTGGGGAGTGCGGTGGACTAGGTACTTCGCCGTGGGTTGTATACACTACCTCAGCCATCGCTCGCCTCTGTCGGTCTTCCTCTTCAGCTTCTACTGCTTTATCAACAGCATTTAGTATATCATCTATACCACTTGGACGTTCTTGTAATGGACTGTTATGTTCGTTTGTGGTTTGCGAAGTTGGTGGCGGTGATGGGGTGGTACCACTCATCTTCTTTATTCTTATTTTGATATTTGCTTTCCTTTTCAAAAAAAAAGAGAATTAGTAATCTTTGTATTACCTTTTCTTATTAATTCCTCAAGTTCAAAAAATGTGATTAAAAGTGTTTTTTATTTTAATAAAATGTTATACAAAATGTTATACAAAATGTTATACAAAATGTTATACAAAATGTTATTATTTTTTTATTATAATGTCTTAGAGCTATTATAATTGATATATGAAATATTATATAAAATGTTATATATTATTAAAGTCAATATTTTTTTTCAAATCAATATTATCATTTTATGATGAATTTTTCATAATTTTTAATCTTCAGATCAGGGTCGGCCAAGATCCAGTTTTTAAACAACTTCGTGGCAATCTCTAATACGTGTCAATATATCTTTTAGTTTTAGCATGTTGTTAACAAAAAACTTAAAAAGTTTTTTATTGTTAAAATGTTTTTAAAAATTGGTAAAACTATAGTTAACGATTTAAACAAATTTTTTATATTGTTTAAATCATCATTTTAATGTGTTATAATCCAGTTTTAAAGAACAATAATTGAACAGTAAAAAAGCATATGAAATGGTAAAATGCAAAGTTTTTAAAATCAAATAATAATACTCACTTCTTATAATTGTTGTATATACAGAAGATACTAACAACCAATAAAAATTATTAGAAATCATTTTAGTGATTTCAACTTAAAATTTTTATTTAAACAATTAATATACCTTTTCAACATACACATTAATATTAATTGTTAATGTCTGTATTTTTGTCATTTGACAAATGTATATTTGTCAATTTAACAAAAGTTCATTTGTGTCCCTTTTAAATTATCGTATAAATTAAACAATCAAATAGAAGTATTTTCATTATCTTTAACAATAATACAAAACAAACAATGTATTATTTTTCGAATGGAGTGAATCATATTACGTTCAAAACAGTAAAACTTAATTTTAGTACGTTTTCTTGATAAAAACGATAATTCATAATGCGATAATAACCAATCAAAATAATTATTATCACCCAAATAAAAAAACTGTTATCAGAGTAACTTTGAATAAGTTTTATTTGCATGTATAATTTACAATTGAAAGGTTTGGTGTACAATTAAATCAACACAAAGAAATATTATTATATTGTATTTAAAGTAATTTGAAAACAATTTGGTGTTTAATATAAATTATCGTTTTATTTTTCTTCATTTTATCTATGGTATAAATAATTGTGTTTTGTCATTATTATTTTGTTTTTTAAAAATGATTGTGTTATTTACCATTTTATTGTTTTTTAAGTTTTTTTCCAATAACATGATCGTTTGGCCGACCCTGTTCAGATTGACAACTTATATAAAAAAAAATCACACATAAAAACAATATATTAGGAGATAAATAAAAACTAAAAACATAAATTCCATTAAAAATATAATAACAGTATATAGATATGAATACTATAACACACCCATTCAACAGAACTATTCAAACTATAAATTCTATATTTCAAATCAAACAAAAATAGAAATACTTAATTCGAAAAGTTAAAAAAAGAATAAAAAGATCTTTAAAAAACATTAAATTTTGAGATGACCCAAGACGCTGTGAAACTTTGTATAATTGGCGACAGTGGTGTTGGTAAAACATGCATTTCTAGTCGATTGGTAGACGGTACATTCAAGCCGGACGAGAAGTCCACCATTGGTGCTTCCTTTGTGACCACCAACATAGAAAATTCAAAAATTGTGATGTTTGTTTTAAAAATGTTATTTAAAAAGTTATTCCCGTTTTCTTTCGCTTATAACGGACTTTATTATGACGTGATTGCAAAGTCGTCACTCAGAAATCACTGACGTGTAGTTGGGATACCGGTTTGTAATCTGGAGAATGGTAAACTATTAAGAATAGGTTTTTATATTAATAATAAACTAAGAGATAGCGGGACAGGAGAAGTATCGTAGTATGGTAGGGATGTATTATAGAGGAGCCTCTGGAGCTATTATAGTCTATGACATTACCAGTAAAACAACTTTTGCTGACTTGGACGCTTGGCATACCGATTTAATGAAAACTGCTACGGAGGACATTGTCTTGTGCATTGTTGGAAACAAAAGTGACATGGAGTCCGCTCGTCAAGTCTCTGCCGCTGAAGGAAAAGAGTTTGCAGATAAGAAGAATGCGATGTTTTATGAGGTCTCCGCTCTCAACGGGAAAAGTTTGTGACAAAGAGAAAAGTATAGTTCATATAGTTTATTTTATTTATAAGTTATTAATATGCAGATGTCACTGAACTCTTCACAGAAATCACTCGTAAAATCAAGTCGTCACAACCACAAAAACCTACCCCACAACCTTCAGGAGAGAACGTCACTGTCTCCGCTAACGGACAGAATCAGCAACCAAAGAAGAAAGGTTTCTGTTAATTCACTTCCTCTTTATTAGTAATATAGTTGTTAATATTATAATAGAATAGTATTATTGGTATAACTAGAATTATAGTAAAATTATAATACAATTGTTTTTTATACTATTAATTTGAATAGTAGTTTATTCTAATCTAAATTCTTATTCATCTTCTCGCAATTGTTCAATTATTTTTTTTAATTATTTTTTAGTTATATTATATAACTATATATATTAACTAAAAATTACAATAAATTACTATCAAACACGTTCATAAAATAATAAGAACGCGTAATTTGACACAACGTGATTTTCATTGATTTTAGTCACCACGTCGTCATTAAAAATATACCAAAATTCTCCACATTTCGAGTAAGTATAATAATGACCACCATTTAAAGAACCGCGGTGATTCTATATTTTAGTTATTTTAGTTAAGACATTAGACATAATAATCCTAAGATTTTTTCTTTTCAAATAAAAACGCAATATTAAAAAAATAAACAAACTACCACAGACGTGAGGGTATATTTCCCTAAGATACCGAATTTTTGTAAATCGAGGAGAAACGGGAAATAGATCATTTGGTTATCCTTTACAATACTCCAATTATCAGTATATCTAAATCTCTTTAATTGTATGACCAACACGTTTGGTAAAAACTCAACAGTTGTCATTTGCTGCGCAATCACGCGTTTCTGACACCCATCA